GTCACATTCCTGTATTTTAAAGTTATTTGGAATAAGTTTCCTTCTGTATGGTTATGGCACTGACTGGATATACAGTTAAATTAACTTGTTTCATTTTACTTTTGATTGTTAGAAATTGCTTTATTTCATTTTATTTTTTATTATGTAAATATTTACATAACCTTGGAACCTTGGAACAAGGTTCCAAGTCTGTTCAGTACAACAAGACATATTCAAAGGGCTTATATCCTGTCTGCTTCACCTGTTCTCTCCTTCCCCCATAGGTAACCTTTATTTTTATGGTTTATCCTTTCATTTTAAAATAAAGAATATGAACAGATATGTAAATATTTAATCTCCCTCTTTTTTTGCTTTTTTTACTTAATAGTGTATTATACATATCACTTTGTAAGATATATATATATATTCTTCATTTGTTTATAGCCCATGCTGCTCTGTTGTGTCCATAGTTTATCCAAACCCTGCCCTCAGCGGGCATTTGGGGTTTTTCCAGTTGTACGGTATTAACTGGGATTTATCTTTTTCTATTTTTCCAGTGTATCTATGGGAAAGCTTTTTAGAGGTGGGATTGCCGAGTCAGAGAGTAAGTGCATGTGAATGTTGCTAGGTATTACCATATGCCCCTTCCAATGGGAATTATCTATTCTCCCTAGCCATTGATTTTAGAACTTGATTCAATACCAACTTGTTGTCTATGTTTCAAATATTTGTTTTCAGTTTTACCATGCAGAAGCTTTTCTTAAACATTTCTATAAAATCAAATGTATTAACCTTTTTACTTTGTTGCATCTTGATTTTTAGTCATATTAGGGATATCTCCCCCCCTTCTAGGTTATAGATAAATTCACCCATGTTTTCTGCTACTAATTTTATGGTTTTATTTCTTATAGTGAAGAGTATAAGGAATGAGTCACTTTTGTCTTTTCCTAGATGCTCTTCGTCATCCCAGCGAACTGATCAGAGAGCCCTTTTCTGGCCTGATTTAGGTGCTGCCTTTAGTGTGCACCGAATCTCCTTTCATCACTGGGTCTGTCTCTGGATTTCTGTTTTGTTCCCTCAGTCTGCCTATTTGTGAGCCAATACCTGTTTTAGTTATAAAGACTTGATAGTGAAAACATTTGATTCCAGTATCTTTTCATTGGTTTTAGTGTTAGGATTGATGGGAAATGATTGTCAGTCATATTTAAGATGCACTTTTTCTCAAGCTTACTTTACCTCAACTACATTGACATCATGCTGAATGAACCAACCGTCTTAATTATTGTTCTGCTTGTGATCAGTACAATTACAAGCAAATTGGAAGATTACTTGAAAGCTGTCTTATGCATTACTTATGTACAAGTTCTGTATACCGTATGGTAGTCACCACTGTCAAGTTCAGAAGTTCAAAAAAAACTACTGTAAGGAATGCAAATCCACACTTAAACATTTGTGAGCCCTGTGTTTTCATTTTGTCTTTCTGAAGATGACGTTTACTTTCATGTCATGAGAAATTGCTCTTAACTTTTTGCCTTAGTTTAAGTTTTATTATTTTAAGCAATATTTTGTTGCAAATGGCATAATACAATTGATTATTGTAACCTTAAACTCTACTCTTTGATAATGCTTGTTGAAAAATGCAGATAATTCAACTACTCCTCACCCTCCCATGACTGTCTTCCTCCCAACTAAGATAAGGGGTCCACTGATATTAAGAGGGCACACAATTGAAAACAATGGCATTCAAAGGTTTTTACCATTTACACATTTTGTTACACTTGCACTCTTTCAACAATGTGGGAACTGGAGATTATCACCTGAACACTTAGCGAGCACATAGTAGTTGTTGGTGCCAGCGGCAGTGCGCACTGTTCTTGAGCGGAGCTATGCACACCCTGATGGCCACGACTGCTGTACCCTCTCGTTCTAGGGAAGTCTGCTTTTCCATTTGTGTAGGAGCCTTTGCTCTGTACCTTAGGTTTCTGCCTTTTTCATTTTGAGAACATTCATGCCAGGGCCTCTGCACTGCACAGCTCCAGGGTTGGGCGAGGTCCAGCCTTAAGCAGCCAATTCCAGGATAAGACTAGACAGCTTTTTGGTGTCCATGATCCCACGAGAGTTGTGCTATACAGAACACAGTTATTTCACCCAAAATTCAGCAGAAGCCTTGGGATTACATTCATTTACCATATACCTGGGTGAACACAGTGGGCATGGTGCCAGTGTCCCCAGATCATTTTCTTTCCCCTTTAGGTTCTTTAGTGGTTGGTTCTAACTGCATGGAAAATTCAAGTTTGTACTCATCTAATTTTCTCCTAAAAGCTCAGTCCTAATTTCAGATTCTTGATTCCTCCTGTGGCTTGGCACCTCATGTTTCTCTCCTGTAGGATTTTTTAAAAACATCTTCACCTGAGGATATGTTTATTGATTTGAGACAGAGAGAGACAGAGAGAAACAGATCAGTTGCCTCCCATTTCCTGTACACACCCCAATTTGGGATTGAACCCACAACTTAGGTATGTGCCCTGACTGGGGATCAAACCAACAACCTTCTAGTTTACAGGACGATGATCCCACCACCTGAGCTGCCTGGCCAGGGATCACCTCTTTTGTGCTCCCCCTAAGTAGGTACCAGGGTCTTTTGGAAGTTACCCATCTTCTTTTTGTATTTCTAGTCCTGGCCCAATGCTGCCTTCCTGGTGGCAGGCAGCTGCCTAGTCTTTCCCTGTGACTGGGTCTCTCCCTCCTTCAGTGCAGCCTCCACCCTCCTGCCAGGTGGTTTTTCTAAAGCATCTGTGATCTTGTAGTAAATTCAGGCTGCACTCCTTAGCTTGACTTTCCAGGTCAGCACTTCCTGCTTTGACCCAAACTCAAGTTTCCGACCCTCTGCACCCCATGAAGGGTTTGAACCCTGTTCTGGGAGCCACTCCCTATTAGGAGGACACACCACTGCCCTTCTTGCCTCCTGTGACCTCCTGCTTCTTACTGCCAGATCCCCTCCTGGTGTGGGTGTCATCTCTGTGCAGCCAGTGTCTCTGATCACTTGGCTCCATCTGGACTTCACTTCCCATCAGCACTTTTGACTCCTTTCTCCTGCCATGGTTGTTCCCTCTTGTAGTAATTATTTGTGTATTTTCCTTAACCCATTCAGCACTGTGAGTTCCTTGCTTGTGTCTCAGTCTGTGTCTTGTTATCTAACTCAGTGCTCGACATGCAATAAGCACCTAGCAAATGTAGTTGGATTTATGGTTTTTGCCAAGTTATACTTTTTCTTTTTGTAGATATTTGTTTAATAAGTGAACTTTCTGTTCTTGATGAGTTCACCCAGAGCCACACACTATTCTGGGGTATGATTCTCAATTTTATGCTATTATTAAAAATGCCACAGTGATCATTTTTATAATCAATTGGCAATACATTTAAAAGGAAAATCATTGAATTAAAGTGTAGGTATATGTTCAGTTTTGATGGATATTACTAAATTATTCTCTGACCAATCTAATAGGTAAAAGGTTGGTTGGTTGTTTTTTTTTTAACCTCTTTAAATTTGTGTTCCCCTGGTTACTAATGAACATGGGAATCTCTTCATGAATTTATTAGTTTTTTGCATTTTGTCTTCTGTGACTTACTGATTCATATCCTTTGTTTATTTTTTCTATTGAGTTGTTAGTCTTTTTCTAATGATTGTTAGAGACTTCAAGGATCAACGAGAAATACTTAAGATGAAAGAACTCCTCATATTAGGCAATTGTGACTTTCTGGGGAGATGTGTGTACACACGCCACACACACTCTCATAAAGGTTATAGTTCTATCATCTTGACAGACTTTCAGCTGGTGCTACTTCACATCTGAGAGCCAATATTTAAAGTGTTCAGCAGGGCCCAACAGGTGTCATAAGTACAGCATCGTTTCATGGGCAGGGCCTTAGAATGTTAGGTTAAGAGTGAGGCATGTACACCTGTGAGCTCCCTGGCACTTATTTTGGGGAACAGCTGAATTTAGAGGGGAAGAGCTATTTTCCCCTCTAAGTGCAGTACTTTTCAGTCTTTGCAACCACAGAACATTTAAGAAGGTCAGTGATTTCACAGGTTTAGGAGTTTTGCTCAAATATGTATTTGAGATACTGTCCATTGTTTCCATCTTCAAGTATTCTGGGATTTCTTTCTGTCTTTCCCCCGCCACCCCTTCTTGGTTGAGATAAGAAGAAACCTCTTGTCTCCTGTGGTAGTAGCATCTGATCATTGTAGGCAGCAGCAGCAAACTTTTTAAAGGTGTTTTATGTCCACAACTTTGAAAACAGTTAAAATGGATTGACTTTACTCAGTGAATATATTAATTTTGGTAATCCCCAGAATCTGTGGATTATAAACAGCTCATTTGGAAATGGTTCATTTAGTGATTTATGTACAAGATAGGTAAACTGTTGTTTAATAGTTTAATATGGAAGTTATCATTGGCAAACACCAAACAGCACTCATTCTTGAATTGTAAAATTGATTCCATTTTTGTATTATAGTGCATATGTATCCAAAATTAGACCTCAGCTCAGAAGAGCAAGTTTCTAATAGGAAGCCTTTTAAAGTGCCTGGCACATTGTAGGTGCTCAATAAATATTTGAATGAATGTATTCAATATACATTGTTGAATGAATGAATAAGAAAGAGCTGTAACTTAAAGATGTAAACCATTTGGAGCAATAGATGTGAAAGAAAGCTTCCTAAAATTGTTTGATGGTAACTTTTCCCCCACTTATGAGGACATGTGTGTTATAAACCTTCATGTGTGTATATGTAAACATTTGTTTACCTTCACTTTTAGTTGGAAGTAAATATATACTTTCTGGGAGGGGCTAGTTCTCATGAAAATAGAGTCATGCAGAGTTCTTCACACATACAGCATAAATATATTACCTTTCCTATCTTGAAATATAATGAAAGTAGGGGTTATTCTGCATCTAGATACAGGAAAGAAAATACCATAGTTATCTGAAAGTCCTTATAACTCCTTCTGGTTTTCTAGGAATGTTTGCCACAGTTGCTGGGATTTCTCAGCGAGCTCCTGTGCACTGGTCAGAGAATGTGACTGGGGCGGCCGTGTGCTTCCCGTATGTCATAGCACTCGATGACGAATTCATCACAGTTCACAGCATGTTGGATCAGCAGCTAAAGCAGACCCTGCCCTTTAAAGAAGGCCATATTTTACAGGATTTTGAAGGTACGAGTTTACAGAAATCTTAACGAAATTTAGTTATTGACTCTTTTATGGTATTTCTGCAGTAAATGCTATTAAAGGGCCCTTAGGAAACAGGCCTTATGCTGAGTATAGCAGATACACAGAAGATGGTAATACACATTCTGCACTGCAGGGGCTCTGGCACTGATGGGGAGAGAGGCATTTAAACAATAGCTGCAGCAGCTGAAGAGCTTCATAGAATGAGATAAGGACAGTTTGGAGAGCAGAAAAAGAAGTGTTTCCTAGAAATATTAGGGAGGGCTTCTTGAAGGAGGTGGTATTTGAGCCAAACATGTAAGAGTGAGTAGGAGTCAGCCAAGCAGATCTGGTGTGAAAGAACCTTCAGGTATAGAGCAAGGTGCGTGCCAGTCTGCTCCAAAGTGAACCTTACACTTCAGACCATGCAAGCAGTTCAGTGTGACTGTGGTGCATGCCCTGTGAGGAGGGTTGGTGTCCTGTAAGGAGACCAGGGCAGTCAGGGAGGGACTGCCTCTTGTGTGCAGTGGTGAGCCAGAGGAGGGATCTATTTTCTAAATTTTATTAGGAATGTTAAATGTACTACACACCATTCACCTAGATGTAATACTTATTAACGTTGAAAGGCAGTGAAAGATATTACGGCATTTAATCCATAACACTTCCTAAGAAGGGCATTTTCCTACAGAGCCACAAAGCCTTTTTCACACCTTAGAAAATGAGCTCTAATGTCTCGCCTGTGTTCAGATTTACCCAGTTGTCCTAAAAATGCCTTTTATGATATCTTCATCAAGGCAGGAATTAACCTAGACTTATGCATTGCACTTGCCATTTAAGGATCTCAGCTTACCACACACTTACCTTCCTGTTTGAAATGCTAGGGATATAAACTTACTGAGACTCAGTCCCCACAGTAAGCTCATCGGATTCCGGTTGGGGCCCCTGACACATGCCTTGGAGAAGGACACATTTCACAACAGTGCTATGGTACTAGAGGGGACGGGGTCCTGGACACGGGGAGGCTGATGGCAGGACCCACCCTTGGCGGGAACAAGGGAAACTCCCTGGAAAAAGATGTACCAGCACAGAGAAGGGGCAGAATCTCATCTATGTAAGCATGAGAAAAATTACTTTGGTTGTGATAATGGCAGATAGACCATGTAGATGAGAGAACAGAGCAGAAAGACCAGGAGGGGAGATGGGACAATGATGCAGGCGCGAGGATGAGGGTTTGGATGAGCAGGCAGTGGGGCTAGGGTGGACATGATCGCAGGAAGAGGATCATTGAGGACCAGCAAAGGCTTGGCTAACACTGAGCTATCCTTCAGACTGACAGAAAAGATTGTGCCATTGCTTCCTGTGTGCACATATAGCTTAAAAAGTGTCTCCAGAAGGGAGCAAAACCCAGTGGAAAAGCTTCATACTGGGTGCTCATCTTGGGTGGTAGTTCTGATACTAAGATCCCTCAGGTGAAATGATGGTGACAGTGTTGGCCATGGGTCAGGTTAACTCAGAGCTTTGTGGGCAAATGAATAAGCTAGTGCCAACATGTGGAGGTATTCTGATGGTGGTTGAATATGAAATACTGTCTCATGGTTCAGAATGTTGCATTATGATCTTAGTTTCCAGTAAACTAATATGGAGAGAAAATAAAATTTTAAAACCTTTATATGAGGTATATCATAATTCTTATTGATAGTTTTTTATAACTGATCTCTACAATTTTATTTGGAGTATATATTGGGAATCTACTCAACTGGTTTTAAATTTATCAACACTTTCATATAAAAAATGCAAAACAGCATAATTTACACTTCAGAAATGCAGTGTTAAGAGTTTGTCCTTTGCTGACAGTTGAAAGTATGAGATGAAGAAAAGAGAACCATCATAATTTATAATTGCTGTAGGAATTCTAGGCTGGGACAAGGCTCATGAAATTGGTCAACAACCCAAATCAGGATTCTGCTGGGGGAAAGCCGGATGTTTTGCTGCAGGCAGCATGTCTACCCCTTCCTAACGGTGTTGAATTTCTTCCCAGGAAGAGTGATTGTCGCCACAAGTAAAGCCGTTTACATCTTGGTTCCATTACCTCTAGAAAAACAAATACAGGATCTTCTAGCGAGCCATAGAGTGGAGGAGGCTTTGGTTTTAGCAAAAGGAGCCCGGAGGAACATTCCAAAGGAAAAATTTCAGGTTTGTAATTAGTTCGTCATAGAAAGCATGCCTTCAAGCCACCAAGCAGAAAACATTTGGATTTAACCCACATTCTGAGGATTCTTCCTGTTCGCTAGACCTGGCAGATTGCGTTTGTATCTGTTACTGAATTTCCTCAGCACATCCACATTTTGCAGAGGAGGAATAGGCTGTAGACCAGCCAGGCAGCTCGGCTGATGGGATGCTGCTAACAGGCCCCGTCAGGTTTGAACCTCTGACTTCCATTTCTCATATGCCAAGTTGTATTTCTAGTCACCTTTCTCTGTGAGCCTTTGGAGAAGGATCAGGGACATAATCCTTAAAAACCAAAAGAGCAACATCAGGTTAATTTGTTTCCTAATTTAGAATTTGTATTTGTTGGGATGGGATGAATTTTAAGAATTTAGATTTGTATTATCTTCAGGAAAAGCTTTGTTAACTGTACTGATAACCATCTAATAGGGCAGGAATCCATCTAACTAATTTCTGTAGGAGAAAACATTAATGCATTTAAGAAACACTAACTTTAATATAGTTGGTATGATAAATATAATGGAAATGATAATCACAAATTATTCTTAGGTCTGATGAAATCAAGTTCCCTACCTAAAAATTACTACTTGATCAGCTGTTAGGTTACTTCAGGTTACTGTATGTAGTTGAGAGAAATAAAATGTAATATGGGTATGTGTATGCTTCATCTGACTATCTCAGTTATCATTAGAAGTTCTCATGAATTAGGAGGAATCCGCTGGTGTTACAAATGGATCAGATTTTCACATGAATATGTGATTGTTGTCTAGTGAAATAATGCTTTTTGGCCTCAGTGGCTTTTATGCTGAAAAGGGTAGATTCTGCAAGTCAAAGACAGGAGGTGTACTTTATGGTCTTGGGGTGTGAAAAAGGGCATCTTTTATATATACACTTTTTAATCTCACTCAAGGATATATCTGTTGATTTTTAGAGAGAGAGGAAGGAGGAGATAGAGAGAGAAAGAGAGAAATAGAAACATTGATCAGTGATCTCCTACATGCACACTGACCAATGATCAAACCCGCAACCTAGGTATGTGCCCTGACCAGGAATTGAACCTGCAGCCTTTTGGTGCATGGAACAATGTCCCAACCAACTAAGCCATTGGCCAGAGCTATATTGAAATATGGGTAAACTTTTCATCTTCCTTAGTAATTTTTTATTTTTATTTTTTTAAAGCCTGATGTGATTTCTTTTAATTTTTTTCATTTTTAGAGAGAGACGAAGAGAAAGACTGAGAGAGAAATAATGATTTGTTATTCTACTATTTATGCATTCATTGGTTGCTTCTTGTATGTGTCCTGACCAGGGATCAAGCCCACAACCTTGTTGTGCCAGGATGTTGGGACTACGTTCTAACCAACTGAGCACCCAGCCAGGGGCCCTTCCTAATTTTTTAAAGTCAAACCTATCAGCACTCAGCAGAGGGCAGCAAAAGCAAAAAGAAGAAAGCTCCTGCTCAGGGCCTGCTCCACATAGGCTTCTGCAGTTTTTTCCTAACTCCTCCTGGTAGGGAGAGGGGCCTTGCTGAGAAGGTGCTGGATCAGACTGCCATGGGATCTGAGATGTGCCCCTTCTGGCCTCGCTGTACCTTCTCTGTCCTTCTATAGAGTAGGCGTGCAAGCTGCCGTCTGTGGCCATGTTGGATGTCTAGACAGGCCACATGTTGGGGTGCCCCCTCCTCTTGCTCACACACATGTGCACACTTTAAGTTTGTAACATTTTATTAAAGGGGTTGTCAATGTCGTTTGTCTGCTTTTTGCTTTTTCTTCTCTGTTTTTGCCAAGGGTAGAGATAATCAGTCAGTATTAGATAACATTACTAGTCATCTTGCTCTTTAATCTGTTATCTTAGTTGGTGTTTTTCCTTCCTAACTTGCCCTCTGCCTTCTCCCTGTTGCTCCAAACACATATATCCAGCCCTGGAAACACCCTCAGAATGGTCCCCAATCGGGCCCTTATTCACAGCGCCTGCTGCAGCTGCTGGCATATAGACCCTTCTGTTCTGCCTGGATGATTTTAATAGCCTCCTTCCTGTGTGTCTGCACCACCCTCCATGCTGCTCTGGAATGATCTTTCTTTTTTTTTTTTTAAATGTATTTTATTGATTATGTTATTACAGTTGTCCCATTCCCCCCCCTTCACTTCCCTCCACTCTGCACACCCTCTCCCACCCACATTCCCCCAGTTTAGTACATGTCCATGTGTCATACTTATAAGTTCTTTAGCTTCTACATTTCCCATTCTATTCTTACCCTCCCCCTGTCTATTTTCTACCTACCACCTGTGCTACTTATTCTGTGTACCTTTTCCCCCTCTCCCCCTCCCCCTTTGCTAACTCTCCATGTGATCTCCATTTCTATGGTTCTGTTCCTGTTTTAGTTGATTGCTTAATTTCCTTTTGTTTTTGTTTTAGGTATGGTTGTTCATAATTGTGAGTTTGCTGTCATTTTATTGTGCATGTGTTTTATCTTCTTTTTCTTAGGTAAGTCCCTTTAACACTTCATATAATAAGGGCTTGGTGATGATGAACTCCTTTAACTTGACCTTATCTGAGAAGCACTTTATCTGCCCTTCCATGCTAAATGAAGCTTTGCTGGATAGAGCAATCTTGGATGTAGGTCCTTGCCTTTCATGACTTGGAATACTTCTTTCCAGCCCCTTCTTGCCTGCAAGGTCTCTTTTGAGAAATCAGCTGACAGTCTGATGGGAACTCCTTTGTAGGTAACTGTCTCCTTTTCTCTTGCTGCTTCTAGGATTCTCTCCATTTTAATCTTGAGTAATGTAATTATGATGTGCCTTGGTGTGTTCCTCCTTGGGTCCAACTTCTTTGGGACTCTCTGAGCTCCCTGGACTTCCTGAAAGTCTATTTCCTTTGCCAGAAAGCCGAAGTTCTCCTTCATTATTTGTTCAAATAAGTTTTCCACTTGTTGCTCTTCCTCTTCTCCTTCTGGTACCCCTATAATTCAGATGTTGGATCGTTTAAAGATGTCCTGGAGGTTCCTAAGTCTTTCCTCATTTTTTGAATTCTTATTTCTTCATTCTTTTCTGGTTGTATTTTTTTTCTTCCTTCTGGTCCACTCCATTTATTTGAGTCCCAGTTTCCTTCCCATCATTATTGGTTCCCTGTACATTTGCCTTTATTTCACTTATTGTAGCCTTCATTTTTTCATCTAACTTGCACCAAATTCAACCAATTCTGTGAGCACTCTGATCTCCAGTGCTTTGAACTGTGCATCTTATAAGTTGGTGATCTCTTCATCGCTGAGTTGTATTTTTTCTGGAGCTTTGATCTGTTCTTTTGTTTGGGCCATTTTTTTGGTCTTGTCACACCTATTATGTAATGAGAGGCGGAGCCTTAGGTGTTCACCAGGGTGAGACAATCCAGTCGCTTGGGTTGTGATGTTGTATGAGGGGCAGGGGCCCCAGGGGGAATGATGACGCTTGCTCCCCTCTCTGCTAGATTTCAGTCACTTCCACCGCTTCCCCCAAGCAAACTGGGCCTTTCTGGTGCTGATTCCCATGAGGGTGGGTTTGTGCACATTATAGGACCCTGTGGGTCTCTCCAACGAACTCTTCTGTGAGGCTGGGAATTCCTCCTGGCACCTCAACCCCCACAGGTGTTTTCAATTGGTGTTTTGAGGCTTTATTTCCCCATGCTGGGACCCTGGGTTGTGCAGTCTGTCTCGCTCTCCAGTTTCGCCTGGTTTATCTGCACACAAACATGGGACCACTTGGTCCTCCAGCCACCTTGAGCACCAGTGCCCCTCCACAATCCACTGCCTAGCTGGGTCTGCCTGCTGCTGCCCCGAGAGCCCGGGCTCCACCAGCTACCACCTGCGTGCCTGGGATCTGCCAGTTGCTGCCTTGTGAGCCCAGGTCTGCCAGCCACCACTTTTTGCTTTTTTTTTGCCACTACCCGTCTCTGTCAGGCCACCAACACTACCCCTCCTACCAGTTTGGATGAATGTGTCTACTTTGACTCCTTGGTTGTGAGACTTCCATACAGTTCAATATTCTGTCAGTACTGTCAGTATTGGCTGTTGTTTTGCTTCTAAACTTTTGTTGTCCATATTTTGGTTGTGCAAGGATGCACAGTGTGTCTACCTATGTCTCCATCTTGGCCTGAAGTCCCTGGAATAATCTTTCTAAAACATAGACCAAATTCTTTGCTTAGAATACATCAGTGGTGCCCCATTGCTTAAGGTAACACCCACCCCTTGAAGGCATGCCACAATGGGCCCGGCCCACTTCTGTCCTCTTCCCTGCTCCCCACTTATCCTGGGAAGCATGCCCGAGCCCTACACTTCACTTCAAAGAGTGGATGACACAGGGAGCTAATAACTGTTGAGGGCTACAATGTGTAAGCTCACTGAGAGGCATTTTAAAACATTTTTTAATATTTAAAACAATTTAAAAAATAAACAACCAGTACCATCATGCAAAGACAGGAAGACACAATGGCTGAGGCTGCTTTGCCTATGGACAGGCAGCTGGTGAAGTCAGAGCAGCCCCCTTTACCCCTTGTGCCTCCCTCCCCAGTTGGTGGAACATGCCACACATATTCACACACCTCTGCACCTTTCCCCTTTGCCTTACTTGTTATTTATACTCTGCTATTACGGGAGCGTACTTCCATACTCATTAAAATACTGTTTCGATACCTTGCTTAAATATTCCTGTCCTCTGAGTCCTTCCCATTCCTCCAGGCAGAGGTAAAAGCTCCCATGTGCTTCTGCAATTATTTATGTTAACATTTAACCCACATCCTTTTACTCCTCAAGTCCACACTTTCCCTGCCCGAGTTCTCGGATGGACTCTTTTTCTGTTCCTCACCCATGCTCATTTCTGGGCTCAAATACAAAGGAATGGATGAGTGGGTAATTTAGAACTTCAAACTAGTCTTCGAATAGAGCTCTTATATAATGAATTATGGAGCAGAAGTTTTTTTGTTTAGAGATAATTTTTCCTAATTAGGCATGTATGTTTTTAAGGGTTAGGTATGACTCTTATAATAAAGCACATTACTTATTTTAACTTTAGGATGCTTGCGACCAAATGCTAGACCCTAGGCTTAGAGAAACCAGAAAGGGAGAGAAAAGGAGAACAGATGTTCAATAGACTGGCATTTCACCATTTCACTCCGTTCTCTTCATTTAAAGCAAGTATTGGTTTTACTTCATTGAGTTCTGAACTAGAGAGGGATTTATCCAGAAGTTTAACTGTGGGACTGGGATTAAAGGAATATTCCTTCTAGAGATCCAAAGAGACAGAGAATTTAGACCTTCAAAAGCCAGTGTTTCTTAAAGAGGAGAAACATCTCTGGAGAAACTAGTGAAAGAAGAAGCCCTTGACCCAGCAAAAAAAATGTCCTACGTACAAAAAAGCAGACCTCTGCTTTTCATAGTGTGTCTGAAAATCAAAAGAAATTCCCCCTATAAACTCCTCATTTGTCTGCTGAAGGGCAGAGGTGTTTACTCAGACCTCCAAACAAATGCTTTCATTCTGTGACTAAAGGTACTTAAATTCAGATTCTGCTGTGTTCTGAGGAAGAGGTATGTGAAAACAAACATCTATTGAAAAGCAAAAAGAAAAGAAAAGGAAGGAGAGAAAACAGACAGGCTTAAATTATATCAAGGTTTAGGATGCTATAAAAAAGATGCATCAAGGAGAAAAAGGTTTGTGTCAAAAAGATTTTTGATTTGTGTCATGTACTGTGGATGGTACTCATGTGAGTTTGAACTCTGACCCTGTCTTTCTCTGCAGGTGATGTACAGAAGGGTTCTGCAGCAGGCGGGGTTCATACAGTTTGCACAACTTCAGTTCCTGGAAGCTAAAGAGCTCTTCAGGTAATTTGAGGTGTTGGTAGCAAGATTTCCAAGTGTTCCTCTGTGGTCAGGCCTTCATTCCAGCTGTGATACTGTAGTGGAAATACTGCCGTGGTTAGATTGCATTTCAGGTGGTAATGGTGAGGCTCATTCTTGACTACCCCCACCCGCCTTAGCCTTAGTTCAGTTGTCCTGTATCTTAAAGAGGGTGGGGGCTGAGGAGGGCTAGACATGACAGTCCTGTGAAGAGAGGAGAGGGCACTTCTAAAGAGTGAATCTGATAACATGAAAGATTTTTAGGAAAATACCTGTTGTTCACTTCTCCTTTTCTCCATAGATTTTATAAGAAGCTAGGGGTTTAGCCCTGGCTGGCGTAGCTCAGTGGATTGAGCACGGGCTGCAAACCAAAGTGTCGCAGGTTCCATTCCCAGTCAGGGTACATGCCTGGGTTGCAGGCCATGACCCCCAGCAACCGCACATTGATGTTTCTCTCTCTCTCTCTTTCTCCCTCCCTTCCCTCTCTAAAAATAAGTAAATAAAATCTTAAAAAAAAAGAAGCTAGGGGTTTAGAAAAAGAGCAGTGCTTCTGGGAAAACTTATGAAAACAATTCTTTTTCTAAAGAGTTTGTAAATGGCCTACTCAAAGTTAGCTCTCTGAGGAAGTTGAATTTCTCTCATGGAGGTCCCCTGGCTTTACGAGTGTGACCCTGTACTATGGACTGTTTCACCTCTCTTTTCACCACCCCTTGTCTCACTGTTTCCAAGCTGCCCTTTCCTCTCATGCTACGTGTTCAGTGAGGCCATGGTTCACATGCTTGCTCAGCACACTTTGCAGAAAATTAAGTTAAACCTGCTACCATAGTCTAAATACCCTACTAAAGCATTGTCTATGAATAAGTTTTCAAAATATCTGGTGGGAATAGACTCTGCACAGTTTAGAGCCATCTACAAGATAAGATGTATACGAAATTTCTGAAGAGACCCTTTTCATCTCAGTAACAACTGTAGCAGAATGCCACTCCATAGCTTGCTGTCCAGCACCTGTTCTGGGTGGTGTCTTGCACTATGGCCCCAACCTCACTGACACCCACCATGGCTCCAATCTCTTGCTCTATCATCAAATTGATTGTAAAGAACAGACTTCTGAGTAAAGAAGAAATCTTGTGTTGAATCATGGGGCCCTATATACCTTTTACTTATGGAAATTCTTTGTGCTGTTATCATCTATTCTTGGAAGATTGGTAGCTTTGGGATTTAAATAGAATCTCTGTGTCTGTGGACTGAGGTTCTTTTCTCTCATGTCTTATCTTCTCCCTGCAGTACTGAAGGCCTCCTCTCTTGGGTGATGACGGTCTCCCAGTACATCTTTTTCTCATTGGTTCATTTAGAATACAAGGTCAATGGTCACAACACATTCCTAGACAAGTTCACTGATTTTATAAGAGAGTAAATATAGGTCCTGTCAGTTGTTTACACTTCAATGCTTCAAACTCCTGATAGCTTACCTTTACATTGACTACTACACAGCTTTTGCCTAAAGTGTGAGTGAGAACATTGGTATTTGAAGAAGACCCTCTTAAGATAAGCATGATTCCACCTTCCCTTCCTCTGCCCACTGCAGACACTGCTAATATTCATGATCATTTCTTCTCATTGATGTGGGACTTGTCCTCAGATTCCTTTTCAGTTTGGTGCTAGAAGCCACAACTGTTGACTAATCATGGTTGGCAGCTAAGATAGAACCTGTGTATCTTTTGTCATGGAGACACATACTGTGTGTCTAGTCCTCTGGGAGTTGTGTAGCCTGTTCTTGTACACACTTACAAGCCAGAGAGCTAGGACATGAGGGTAGGACAGCACCCTGCTCTTGCGGCATGCCCCTTGCCCAGTGCAGGTGCCACTCTGCTGTGAGTGGAATGCGAAGCAGCATCGCAGAGCACTGACTGACATCAAAATTTGTTCTCACCTAAGTGATGAGCAGAAGTTTCCCAAATGGTGAACAATTCTTTATGCCAGGATTCCTCCTCACCTATTGCACATTGACATGTTGGGATGCACTGTAGAATGTGTTGTAGCAGCCCTGGCCTCTACATGCTAGCTGCCAATAGCACCCACTACTCGTGACAGAAATACATCGGACATTGCCAAATGTCCCCCAGGGAGCAACACAGCTTTCCATTGAGAGCCACTGCTTTAGGCAAAGGAACAGCAACAGTGAGGGTTAAGAGGCATGAATTCTGTGAATGCACAGAACAGTAAGGTGGAGCGGAGTGTGGACTGTGGGAGGGATATTCGTAGGTAAGGCTGTCAGGTGGTTTGGAAGGGTCCAAATGTCATGCTAAGAGACTTGAACATCTTCCTGAACAGAACCACTGAAGGTGGGTAAAGTGCAGGGCCGGAGGAAGGAGGCCAATGCAGAAAGCTGAGAAAGTGAAGGAAGGTGGGTGCAGTGAACGTCACGGAAGTGCAGAGTCAGGCCCTGCCTCAGAAACTCCTATTTAGTGTGTCTGTAGGGGGCTCTGCTATGTCTCCTCAAGAGGTTTCCCACAGACAGATCTGATTCTGGCCAGGGTTGAGATCCACAGTTGGTGATGCTGCTGTTGTCATCACTGTGGCCAGGACTAGTGGGCTGGTGGGAGGAGATGGGAGAGGGACCAAAAATGATGTAGAGAAGGGACATCACTATACCAGGCCTCCTGGGTCTTATGAGGTTAGGACACTGTGCCCACCATTTGAGTTGTTCTGAAATGGTCTCAAGTCACCACAGAAATGGCCATGTGAATGCTTCTGTGTCTTATGTTACAAGACCATTGATGAAGAAATTGTTACCATCCTGTAAAGTCCCTTCTTTATGGACTATTCAATAAACTTATAATTTAGTGCCAGGAAGAACATTGGTTTTATAAGACCCTGATCAGATAGTGATGTGTTATTTCCTTTGTATTTCTTTCTTTGCCCTTGTTTCTAGGGAGCCTGGTGCTGACTCAGTGTTCAGATGTTTTGATATTTCACCTCACCTTTCACCATGGTCCCCTCTATTCTTTTGTGGAATCAGGTGGTGGCAGTCAGTAGTGCTTTGCCTTGTGTGCAAATTAAGGTGGTTTCTCTGGTGCACTCACCCAGATATCCAGCTCGATAATAATGTGCACAGACACGCACACCCCTCCAGTGTTGTTTTGTGTGCCTATGTGTACTCTCTCTCTCTTTTTGCTTCATTTAGTTTGACACTGTAATTGCAGAAGCGGCCAGCTTGATGTCCGGGAGCTGATCTCTCTCTACCCCTTCCTGTTGCCTACCTCCTCTTCATTCACACGGTCTCACCCTCCTCTCCATGAGTACGCAGACCTGAACCAGCTGACCCAAGGGGACCAGGAGAAGATGGCTAAATGCAAGCGCTTCCTCATGAGCTACTTGAATGAAGTCCGCAGCACAGAGGTAGCAAACGGCTATAAGGAAGACATTGATACAGCCTTGCTCAAGCTATATGCTGAGGATGACCATGACAGTCTGCTTGACCTGCTGGTCACCGAGAACTCCTGTCTCCTAACAGACAGTGCTGCCTGGCTAGAGAAGCACAAAAAGTGAGTGTTCTCTACCATGTCAGCTGCGGGCTTCATGCCAGCCCCCGCCCCCTCACCCAGCTGATAAAGCCAGTGGGTTTGAGTTTCTGAGATGCATTGACTGCCTTGAAGTCATAGTGCCAGCTCAGCACCCCTCAGGTTAGATCACCTTCTACATTTGGAGCAAAGCCTAGCCTTGTTAGTAAATGAAGTGATCCTTAAGTCGCCTCCATGTTCCATCTAGGATTCGCCTGTGGAAGATACCACATTTGTCGGTATAATTACTAGTGCATTTAGCCACTGAACAGACCAGTTTGAACAGATAGATAGTCATCTGGATAAACAGGTAATTGATCTTATGGATAAGAAGTAATGGCTTTAAACTGTTTTCATTATGCACACAGTTGGTCCGTAGTGACTGATTTGATCACAGAGCTGGTAGCGTCTTCCTCCTGGGTAGGTGGTCTAGTTGTTGAACTCTTCAGGGTCTCAGGGGAGTTTTTCTTTAAAAATGTTGGGTGACCCCTACACTCTGTTAAGCAGTAAGATTCTTTGTGACTTTTGGTATGCGTTTGAAATGACAAAAGCACTGACAAGCTCCTATGGGGACCACGATGATCACATTGCTTGATCCTGTTCAGATGCTGAGACAGCACAGGCTCATGGCTGGTCTCCATGTGGGTACTGGCTCTCCTGGTAATTTCCCTCAGTTTCCTAAATACACTGCTGCCTCATGGTGGGGACTCAGGATGGTAGGGTCCGGAGAGTCAGTGAAACTTTCAGAAAGGTTAAGGAAAAGAGACGGGTTCTAGCAAATGGTTTAATATCTTGGGAGTTTGCTCTTTTAGGGAAAAAATCTGACACCTCCTAGGTCCCTTGTTCCGGTCACCTGCTGGGAGGAGGGAGACCAGGAGCTGGACACACCTGCAGAACTGAGAAGGGTGGCCATGGCTTACTACCCAGGCAATGCTAATGTCATTACTAGTCCTTCTACTTGTAAATGAGGAGATAGAGGGCTGGGGAAGGTAATCTACTTGCTCAAGTCATACAGGTCATAAGTATGAAGCCTGAGTAGAAACCCATGACCTTGAACTCTGGGTGGCCTACCCTAGGACTCTCCCTGATGTCCCATTTTCTGTGATGCCTAGATCCTATTGGTCTTTATTTCTGTTGTTCATGTTCAGACTCCCTACTTCTTCTTTCAGTAATGATTTAGATAGCATACCTTCCAAATAGTCTTCTAATATTAGGTTAAAAAGGGCTAACTGAAAAGATATGAAATTATAGTAATATTTGAAGCAAATTGTAAAGCAATTTCAAATGTGGTTTTCCACAGTAAAGCTATAGTTTTCTTTGTCAGCTGGTATTAGACTTGAACATGATCCTTTTTGAAAATTGATAGGGCATACATTTTAATACCGTAAGTAAATAAACAGAAATAAGGATCTTTTTGTTGTCTATAATCTGTTGTTGAACTCTGAGTTGAATAGAAGGGCTGGGGGTGGGGTTGGGGCCAGGGCCAGGGTGTCGCCAGTGTGGATGCTGCCCACAGAAGCGGGTAGGGAGCAGGGCACTTACCATGTTGTTTTCTTTCAGGTATTTTGCACTTGGGCTGCTCTATCATTATAATAACCAAGATGCGGCTGCAGTTCAGGTTAGTTCAAAAGCACTTTAGCATTATTTAAAAATAAGTACCTTTACCTTGGTGTTGCTTTGAAAAATCACAAATTGATAGAGACTACTTTTGCCTGATCTACAAGCTTTTTTAAAGAACAAGATTGGTACTGTTTTTAGAAAGTGAATTCCTTGAGAAATGTTGGCCAAGAGTTTTTCTCTTTAAAGAACATTATCAGGGTTGAGTTTTTTGAAAATTTAAGAAATAAAACTATGATTTCTTATTGAGTCACCAGGCACATGACATCAGTGCCTTATCAAAAAGTTAAAACTGAGAATAACAGTTTGCTTTATAATTACTTGTTCATGTTAATAAATTTATGATATTAATAACTGTTAATGCCAGTGACTCTTGCCAGAGAGCTGAGTAAATTATTATCACATGTCATCTCTAACAAAACAAATTGGCCTAATCAAGGCCACTTACTTGGCCAGGTTCAGACCACTGGCCAGAGGCAGAGCTGTGATTAATTAGACCCAGTGCTCCAGGTGGCCTGTGCTGGGGTGCACAGCCAGAATTAAAATGGCACCAAGTGTTAGTCTTGTTGCTGGTCATGCATCTGACATCATATGACTGACCTCATCTCACACTCAGGAGACTGTGCCGCTGGTGTTAGCTGTCATCCACTGATATTGCTTTGTATTATGCTTTCCTCGTGTGCCTTTTTGTATTTTGTTTTGTGAGCAGCCAGGACCATCAGCGGTACTCACTGAGCTAAAGTCAACTTCATGACTTTGCCAAAGGCACATTTGTGTTTGGTTAAACTGTTATGGTACCATCTTTGCAGAATAGGCTAAAAAAGAAAAATGGATTCCTATCAGCATGCAGTCAATGGCTAAGAGTAGATTTGGGTGTCAAAGATAAATTTTTTTTTACATCACATAATTCTAAGAATTACAGCTTGACGTAACTATAATAATAACATTAGCAGAGATATTTGCAAAATTGAAATAATATGAAATAAATTTCAGTATATGACTGAATCCCACTATTTTTTTAATGACACATTTTAGTGTATATATGAGTAGATATGGTTTGGGGAATTCACTGTTAAAGAAACTAGCACCATAAAAGCATTGGCATACCAATAATCAGAATTAAAGTATTTATGCCGCCTGCCTCATTTCGTGGATCTTCTTGCTGGTGGCATGGCTCGGAAGTGCAGCGCAGTGGAAAGGGGGCTGAGGGACACCCAACAGGCAGTACAGAGAATGGGCTTTCAGCAGCCTCCATCCCCTCCACCCCTGTGATGCTGCCTCATCCTGGGGTTCTGGAAGTAAGTTTCAGTTTACTTGGCAAGGGAGTTTCTGGATGAAACAACAGAGCCCTTTGATTACTAGTGTATCAAGAGACCTTGTGGAAAAGACTATCGGGATGCTAGGGGACAGAATCAAAGCTTTTTAAAGTGTTGCATCTATCACAGTCAAAACAGGACTTCAAAATCAAGAGTTCTTGTGATGGAGAAGGTAGAAACAGCCTCACTGATGGACGTGGGTGAATTCCTTCTGTGTCAAGGTGTTGTCAGTGATTGTTTTGTTTATTTCATGAACAAATATGTTTAATACATCCACCTTTTCCCATACTTGATGTAAACGATTTGTGTTACTATGATATTGCTAAAGGGAAGAAAAAGAACTTGGTGCTTTATTTTCTTGATTTCCTGAACCACGTCTTCTACATTTCTTTGTTTCTCTGAAAAAAAAATTAAATTTGATTTAAACATTTAAAATTTGTCCCACTATTTTTAAGTATTAAATAAGGCCAAGTAAGTAAACGTGCCTTTCTCTGCTGATTTTAGAAGAAAGGTGAGCTTTCATTTCTTTTTCTTGTTGCTTCTTTCCAGTTGTGGGTGAACATAGTGAATGGGGACATTCACGACTCCACACGCTCAGACCTGTACGAGTATGTCATCGATTTCCTTACCTACAGCTCGGACCAAGAGCTAGTGTGGAAGTATGCCGACTGGGCCTTGCAGAAAAGTGAGGAGGTCTGTGCTTCGTAAATGCACTCAGGGTGGGGGGAGGCGGTGGTAAAATCAAACACAACCTTGATTTTAGGTGGGTGAACAAGCTACACTTCAACCTCTCTGTTCACTTTCTTAGTTCCTCCTTCAATACAGTTCCTTAAGCCATTGGAATCCTAGCTCCAGGGGTAGTTCTGCACTTCAGTGCTTCAGAGACACTGTTTACACAGGCTACTTTTACAGAAAATCAAGAAGCATAGTCAGGGTGCATTCTTAGCATCTTCTGAAAGATGTGTTTATGAATGCCACCCCCGAGTCTGGCATTGTTGTTTTGTGTGAACACAGCAGGACCAGATGGTTGCCCTGCAGGGCTTGGTGCCAGACCTGGGCCGGGGCAGTGAACTGCTGCCAGGTCTCTGCTGCCACCACCCCAATGGGGAAATCGTAGATCTGAAGGAAGGAGGGCAGCCTTGACGGGGACTCGCCTACACTGGAGGCTGAGAAAGGACATCAGTGAGAAAGCACTTATTGGCTGTTACTTCTTGGTCTTTGTCAGCCTCATGCTGTACTGCTTTTCTGTGTCACCATGTTTCTGACAGTGATTTTACCCAAAGCATGAATCTGCAGCACCCAGAATAAAGGTAAGATGGTGACTTCCCAAAACATAAGCCAGTCACTGCTCTTCTTTCAGGTAGGAGTTCAGGTTTTCACCAAGAGACCTTTGGAGAAAGAGCAGAACAGTTTTAATCCAGATGATATTCTCACTTGCCTTAAGAAATACCCTGATGCCCTTGTCAAATACCTGGAACATCTAGTCATGGACAGGAAACTGCAGGTGAGCACTGCCAAACTTAGACTCAGATGCGTAGGCTGAGGCTTCACCACAGACTTGAGAGACAGAATTCGACCATAAAACCTGCTGGCGGGTGGTCCTTATGTGATGTTTTCTATACCCTGGCTGCTCACTCTGTATTTGTTGATGGTCTGCAGCGTAACTAGAGGTTTGTGAAAAGGGGGAGGAATAAATAGCTTTTATTTTAACTCCCCCATCTTATATCCACCCAGCTTATATATTTTTTTATTTCCTCCTTGTTATTGCTCTTAAAGGAAATGAGAGACGATGCATCTTTTTAGAGAATACTTAAATTCTGTGGACCTGAATTCTAAAAATGAGAAGTAACCCTTTTATATTTTCCCCATAGATATTAAATTCACCTTCTCCCTATTGTGGTTACTGAGGGGTGTTTGACCCAACAGGTGTGTTATATGCATTGTCCTTGAGAACCTGCCTATCTCTCCACAGCATGGGTCGGGTCTGGGAGTCGCTGCCAGGGTGCTCTCCAGCTTCCCACCTATAAACACATGTCTGCTCCAACCCCATTTCCTGCAGCGGGAAGAGTACCACACGCACTTGGCTGTCCTCTACCTGGACAAGGTGCTGCAGCAGAGGCCCAGGGCTGACAGCATGGGTACAGAAGTGACTGAGGCACAGGCAAAGCTACGACACCTGCTGCAGAAATCTGATGTATACCGAGTTCGCTTTCTGATGGGTAAGGAGTATCTCCACTGATAAGCTTCTGCCAGGGCTAGGGATGAGGGGGACACAGAGAGGAACGCTTTGGCATGCTCCTTGTTTTGATTCCGTGGGTGATCCTTGAGCCTCTTTGGCACAAAGTCAGCCTCCCTAGAGGGTGGGGCAAAGCTTCTCTGGCCTCTGCCTCCACAAACAGACAGTGGCCCTTTATCTGCAATCGATTCTCATTAGTCACAGTGGTCCTGTCACATAAAGTCTTCACAAACACTGAATTAGTGCTAAAACATGGCCTAGAGAAATACAGGGTTAGGTTCCTGCATACCTCTGCTCCCAAAGTTTTCCTCAGCCAATCAATACATAACCTTGTTTTATGAGTATTTCTATTTAAAGACTCCTTATTTAATATTTAGTTATTCATTAATGTTGAACTCACAGGCAATAGCACTCTTTTTAAAAAACATATTTTATTGATTATGCTATTACAAATGTCCCAGTTTTCCCCTTTGCCCCCCTCTGCCCAGTAACCCTATTCCCTCCAGCATCCCCCCCTTAGTTCATGGCCATGGGTTGTATTCTTAACATCCCCCTGTCTATTTTGTACCTACCAATTTGTGCTTATTAATCCCTGCACCTTTTCCCCATCCCCTCTCCCCCTTCCCAGCTGCTAACCCTCCAAGTGATCTCCATATCTATGATTCTGTTCCTGTTCTGCTTATTTGCTTAGTTTGTTTTTTAGATTCAGTTGTTGATAGTTGTGCATTTGTTGCCATTTTAATGTTCATAGTTTTGATCTTTTTCTTATATAGTTCCCTTTAACATTTCATATGTTAATGGCTTATTGAGGATGAACTCCTTTAATTTTATCTTGTCTAGGAAGCACTTTGTCTGCCCTTCCATTCTAAATGATAGCTTTGCTGGATAGAGTAATCTTGGATGTAGGTCCTTGCTTTTCATCACCTTGCATACTTCTTGCCAGTCCCTTCTAGCCTGTAAAGTATCTTTTGAGAAATCAGCTGACAGTCTTATGGGAACTCCTTTGTAGGTAATTATCTGCTCTTCTCTTGCATCTTTTAAGATTCTCCCTTTTTCTGTAACTTTGGGCATTTTAATTATGATGTGTCTTGGTGTGTTCCTCCTTGGAACTTGTTTCTGGGCTTGTATATCTATTTCCTTCGCCAAATTAGGGAAATTTTCTTTCATTATTTTTTTCAAGTAAGTTTTCAATTTCTTGTTCTTCCTCTTCTCCCTCTGGCACCACTATGATTCTGATATGGGCTCATTTGGAGATGTCCCATAGGCTCCTGATTCTATTCTCATTTTTTTAAAAAATTCCTTTTTCTTCTTGCTGTTCTGACTGAGTGTTTTTTTCTTTCTTATGTTCCAAATCATTGATTTGAATCTTGGCTTCATCCCCTCTACTGTTGGTTCCTTGTGGATTTTTCTTTATTTCACTTAATGCAACCTTCATTTCTGCCTGTATCTTTTTTATGCTGTTGAATTACCCAATGATTTCTTTGAGCATCCTGATAACCAGTGTTTTGAACTCTGTATCTGATAGGTTGCTAATCTCCATTTCCTTTAGTTTTCTGAAATTATTTTCTGTTCTTTCATTTGGGGCATATTTTTTTGTCTCTTTAATTTGGCAGTCTCCCTGTGTTTGTTTCTGTGTATTAGGTAGAACTGCTCTGACTCCCTGTCTTAGCAGCATGGCCTTTTGTAGAAAAGGCATCTATAAATTGTGAGAGGCGGAGCCTTAGGTAATTGTCACCTTGGGGCAACCCATTTAATCACTTTGTGTCTCTATGTGGGAGAGGGTTCGTAGAAGGGACAGTGCCGCTTTGGCCTCTGGAGTTTGCCCAAGAGGAAGCTGTCTCCCTGAGACTTGCCCTCTTTCCAGGCACCTCACTGTCTCCCCATCTCCCCATATGCCACTGGTGCCCTTCTGGCTGTAGCCCTAGTGCTGAGTCCCAGAGGAGGTGGGTCTGTGTGAATCCTAAGTCAGTTGCTGGCCCTTTAAGAGGAGTCTCTTGAGAATCCTGCAGTTTCTTCTGCCACCCCAACCCCCACTGATTTGGGCAGCCAGAAGTTATGGGGACTTATCTTCCTGGAGCTGGAACCCTGGACTGGGTGGTCTGGCGTGTGTCTGGGGTCGCTCGCTCCCTAGGTATCCCTCCCAATTTTTATCCACTACACATGAATGTGGGACCACCTGTTCTGCACCTCTCCGGGGCTCTCCCCCTCTTACCCATCTGGATGAATGTGGCTTCTTTAAATCCTTGATTGTTGTACTTCCATACAGCTCGATTTTCTGACAGACCTGGGTTAAATTTGTTTTGTAGTCTAGTTGTAATTTTTGCTGTAGTTGTGTGCAGAGGTGAAGCATGCTTACTTACACCTCCATCTTGGCTGGAAGTCACCAATAGCACTCTTAAGTCAGGCCTGACTGGCACTCATCTGACACACGAATTTCCTCTCTAAGGCACCTGACAGCCTTCCTGTGCTTAGAAATGCTACATGATCCCTTAGTACTGTGCTTGGGGGTCATTTTAAATGCTGAAATCACCAACAAAAACCCCACAAAAATATAAAACTATGACACTGAGTAAACTGTGAGAAGAGTTTGCCCAATGAGGGCTGCAAGAAAAGAGTGTCACTTTGCTTGACCTCAGCTGGGAAAGTGGGTATTGGTGGCTCACATGTTTTGCCACTCTGCACAAATCTACAGGTGCCTTCAAAAGCACGACAAGTATTGACCTTAGAGTTGCAAATAAATTCTGGTGAGTGGACAAATATAGAATCTGTGAATAATGAGGACCAACTGTATATTCCAGGTATAGGCAAAAATGCTTAGTATGCATTATGTTTATTTCCACAACAAACCTATGAAATAAGTCCTGTCATACTTTATGATTTTCGTAGCAGAGTAATTTGATGTTTAGAGCAGTTACCCAGCTTGCCTCAGCTCACACAGCTGGCTTGCACTTGACATTCAGCTGTGATGTTTGTCAGCCATACCCATTGCTCACAGCCACTGTGCATTCTGATTGGTCAGTTCCCATGCTGTACTGTTTGTTCAACATTTTTACTATCACCTTTGATTTACTTCATACTTCATGTTTTACAAATCCCTTTATTAAAATTTCATGTTACTCATTAGTTTGTTGAAGGTTTTTGTTCTTTCACCTTTTTGGAGCATATGTACAGTGTCAGACATGCACAGAGGATATAAAGATAGATGTGACTTGATTCTTGTCCTTGTAAGCAAAGGGCAGTTGAGGGCTGGTGGAAGCTCCACATGGGTTCTTGGGGTGAATAGGCAGGGAGAGCCTCCCAGAGGAGGTCCTGTTTTAGCAGTCATAAAGAATACATCTGGGCTTGCAGGCCAGACCTGGAATATATAGGAAATTGGGTGTCCCCAAGGCACTGTGGAGGCTACCTCTGTAGCCTTTGTTAGGTGACTTAGGGAGTGTCATTCTGGCCACATTGCAGTCACAGTTCCTTCCAAGTCTATCCACTGGAGATAAGAATTAAATATGAATGAGGTGATAGGCATGAAAACTAGAGGTCACTGCAAGACCTTTTCTTAACCATCTTTGTGGCTCTCTCTGTTCCTTGAATGTGGTATGCACTTAGTAATTATCTGTTAATAGTTTTTTATGAGGATGGGATAATGCATGTTGCAGTTTCTGTGTCTAGTGCTGTAGGTGACATGCTAAAGAGCCCACCCTTTGCCAAAGGACTAGTGTCTGCCATGTGCATTGGGTATGGATGTGGCCAAACTTCACGTGCAAAATGCCTATAATTGGAGTATTAACCTTGGTTCCTGAAGAAGTTATCCTTGGGATATCCCTTCATAGTGGGGAGAGGCTTTGCATTATCTCCCCAGTCTTCAGGGGAGTGAGGCAAAGGGACTTTACTAATGAGATGCAGCCCATGAAGTGCAGGACCTTGGTCAGAACTGATGTTTCTCTGCTGGTACCGTTTTACCTATAACCTGGAAATTTAAATTGCAAGAGAAACGAAAAACCTTTAGACTGACGTAGATATGGATTTTACCAGTACAAACCCATATTTCTTTCCATGAAATATATTTTAAATTGGAATAAAGGAGTCCAGCACACTTTGTGGGGTGAGGGGGTATGACCTGGATTTAGTGACTATAGTGCCTTCCTGCTTTAGTCAGAAGATACTTACTGGGAAGATAGGGATAATGTGATTCATTGGAGCTTGACACTGCGGTGCTCAGGGTTTCACAGGGGCCTTTTGAGACCGTGCATCATGTGTTTCATTCATTCTCTAAACACTGTTAGAAAGCTGTATTCCGAGGCCTGGCTGTACTTAGGGGTTAAGTCTATGTCTGGTGTTATTGACACCAGGTGTGAAGGTGGAAATAACAGAAAGCCTTCTTGGATGATGTGCATGGTAGTGTGCAGGGTTGTGGGGTGGCGGTGTGTAGGAATGTTGGGTGACCAGATCTGCCTTGCCCTTTCCTAAGCTGAGAGCACTAGGGAGCTGGTCTGCACTGGCTTGGCTCAGAGCGGCTCAGGCCCTGCCTGCTCTGACCGATGGGTTCTGCCCTACAGAGAAGGTACAGGGTGCCAGCCTGCCCATGGAGCGTGCCATCCTGCACGGAAAGCTGGAAGAGCATGAGAAGGCGCTGCACATCCTGGTGCATGAACTGAGAGACATCCCAGCGGCCGAAGACTACTGCCTCTGGCGCTCTGAGGGCAGGGACCCGGCCTACCGGCAGCAGCTCTTCCACACACTGCTCACCCTTTACCTGAGCCCTAGCTCCTCGGCTCCTGAGCTGGCTGTGGCTGCTGTGGACCTCCTGAACCACCATGCTGCGGAGTTTGATGCTGCTCAGGTCCTGCCGCTGCTGCCAGGTAGCTGGTCGGTGCAGCTGCTCTGCCCGTTCCTGACTGGGGCCATGAGGGACAGTGTGCACACCAGGAGGACCGCTCAGGTGGCTCTTGGCCTGGCTAAGTCTGAAAACTTAATCTACAAATGTGATAAGGTGAGAGCTTAGCTAGCTTCTTGGCCAGTTGACACTTCATTTAATATATACATTTTACCTGTGGAAGAATATTCTTTGTCAGTGTTTTTTCTCTACAACATCAACATATCAAATATATTCCACTTGTACGGAAACAGGTGCATGTACATGGAGGCAGGAGCTGGGGCAGGGATAACGCTGGTATAGCTTGTCTCCCTTTTTGTGACGATCAAGAAAGCAAGTACATACTGTGTGTCAGGTACTTTTCTACACTTTACATTGAGAAGGCACACAGTAAATGGAAGGGCCCAGATGTGCATTCCAGGCCACTTCAGAGCTCCGCATTCCTGGTCCTTGTCTTACTCTGTTCAGGCTGCTCCACCAGATGCCACAGACTCAGGGCCTTCAACAACACACATTTATTCCTCACAGTTATGGAGGCTGGCAATTTAAGATCAAGTTGCTGGGAGATTCTGTGCCTGGTGTGGGCTCTTCCTGGCTTATAGATAGCCCCCTTTTCACTGTGTCCTCACACAACAGAGAACAAGCTCTGATCTCGCTTCCTCCTCCTCTAATGGCTCTAATCCCATCATGGGAGCCTTACCCAATGACCTCATCAGACCTTAATCACCTGCCAAAAGCCCCACTCCCAAATACCATCACATAGGAATTAGGGCCTCAGCATAGGAATTGGGGGGTGGGGCACACAAATGTTCAGTCTGTAGCAGTCCCCAAACATCTCCCTCTGGAGACTTCTCTCTTGTGAGCTCCATATTCCACACAGCTGGCAGAGTGATCTTTACAAAGTAAGAACCTACTCCTTCCCACCCCACTGTGGACAAATTGACTCCTGGAAGCTTCAGTCTCACCTCCTCTGGCCTGTCCCTGTCTGTCTCTGATGGCTGGCCAGGGTGTGTGGCACCTCCCACTGTGACATGGTGTTCCACACACATGGCCTTTGTACCCTGCCATTTTCTCTGCCTGTGGTATTTTTATCTTCCCCTTTTGGGGCCTGGTGAGCAGCTGATGGAAACCTAGGCAGGGATTTTTCCTTTGCAAAACCTTCATTCCCTTTGAAGGAGGTTAACCACTTCTGAGCACAGGCATTTGTAATTGTTTCCCTTTACTGTAGACTTTGGGCTCTTTGAGAGCAGGGAGCTTCATTCACTTATTTTGATATTCCTGGAGCCGAGCCTGGTGTCTCAGAGGCATTGAATAAATGTTTGCTGAATGACTAATGAGACTAATGTGTCCTTGTTGTCACTCAGTCCCTCCAATAGGTTGATGTGTCTGGGTTGATAAAAGTGAATTATGAAAAAAGGCTCTTTAACCTAAAAACTTAGATCTTAACAGACAGGGAACAATGGGTCACAGCTCAGGTTTACCAGTTACCTTTAAAGAAATGAAATTATGTGTCCTGGGATTAGTCAGGAATATGCCACTAATCAACCCTGTGACTAGGATCAGGTTCCTTATTTATGCCTTACTCTGCCTTTTGCAGTGAGAGGACCAGGGGATTAGATGACTTGTATGGCTTTGTGTGGCTCTAACAGTACACGATGGTAGTTGGCTGTGCCAAGATGTGTCAGAGCTCAAAGAGCATGAGAGACGATCTTGGTTGGAAATACCTCACTAGACAAGCAGCAATGACTTTTATGAAATAAGAAAGCAGTTTTAAGGCTTTTTTTTACTTCTCCAGTTACTTAAGGATATTTTTAAAAATTTTCACTTCTAATATTCTGTGTCAAGAAGTTAATATTAATGCAATCCTCATAAGTAAAAATAATCCATGGGATAATGTGCGTCAGCTCTGAAAAACAGCATAACAATATGTGAGAATTCTGTCTTTATTTTCACAGATGAGGTTGAAAGGAAGCTCATTTCGGCTCTCAGACAAAAATCTGTGCCAGACATGTCAGAATCCCTTCTGTGAGCCCGTGTTTGTTAGATACCCAAATGGTGGTCTTGTCCACACCCACTGTGCTGCCAGCAGACACATGGACCCCAGTTCCCCCAGACCTGGTGCACGGACTTGAAGGGCTGCCCAGGGGTGCCAGGGGGACCTTGAGTTCTTGATGCATCCAGCCTGCTGGGTACAAAAAGCAGAAAGCATGGCACTATGTCAGCCAAGATAAAGGGTGACATCTGGGTGCCCGGGAGACTTCAGTCAATGTGAAACAAGGACTCTTCCCTGCTCTCCAATCTGCACTGAATGTAAATGAAAAACCCGAAAAGAGAGACATGTGAGAGTTCGCCATCCAGACACATGGTCATCCGAAACAGATGTCTACTTGGAAAGAAAAAGAAGCCTTTCCAGTGCACTCCAGACAACACCGGATTTCCCCCACCCCATCTTCAGGCACACATTTGCACTGGAAACGTTTGCTTCAGGTTGACATGCGGGTGATAGCCTCTCCAGGCTGGGTGAGTGGCCAGGGCACAGAGTCCTGTGAGGGCAGGTTTCACCGTCGCACTTTTCCTTCCTATGTGGATGTGTGCTCCATTCATGGTTCAGCCACTGGGTCCCATCTGTTTCCCGATGACCTTGTGGTCTCTGCTTTTGCCCTTGGCATGGGCTGACTTAGGGAAGTATTTCCATTCCTTCCTGCTTCCCATCTGGCTCTCAACCCATAAGAGATTCTACTTTGTTCACCCAGGCACTACCTTTAGGGTAAATTCTTATGCTTCTGGCTGCCTCGCAAGGGAAGGCCTTACACAATACTGTTAAGGCTGAGAGAAGCTGCATGCCCATCTTAGAGATGACAGCAGAGACGGGGAGCCATGGTTGGGCAGGGCCCAGGCATGGCACTGTCACTGTCACAGCACCTGCGGACCAGAAACTCCACCGTTAACAGGTGTGACTAAAAATTTTTATTTGAAGTTATATCATCTTTGTAGTATTTCTCAATTAGAAATTCACCTGTCATATTTGTTAGTGATGTTTTTCTTATTAAAATGTACCTTCCATTGAATACTTGGGAAATCAAAAGGGAAACGTTATGAGCACAAACTGAACGTATTTTCAGGATAGGCTGTTTTACCCTCACTCTCAGTAGGGCAGACAGTCAGTGACAGCTACCTTTGCACATGGTAGAGATGCCACCTTTCCTATAGGTAATGCCACACACCCTGATAGGGAACTCCAGTCGGGCTGCCTTACCTCCAGCACTTTACACACCTGCTCTGAGGTTTCCTGAACACATAGCAAAAATGTCTCTTGTTCCTCAGACTGCAAGTTCATTTGGTGTTTCTGTCAAAAATTGTGGAGAGGCTGAAACTTTTGTTACTACACTGCCCTCATTTGAATTTCTTCATTTTAATTATTGACTCTGTTAGGAACTAACAGTAAAGACACTGTACCCCCTGGCATAATGCTTGGAAACAAGCATCAACTTCTCTGTGTGAGAAGGAGGACCCTGGAACACCTGCTGCCTGTCAGCCTAAGCCTTACAGACTGTGAAAAGAGCTCATTCTCCAAGCTTTAAAACATGTTTCCTGTGCTCATAATGGTCAGTGTTCCTTTTCCTGTGATTCCAGCTGGGCCAAGAAAGCAAAGGCATCCACACATTCATTCCTAACTGTGTTTCAGTGATCTAAAGAATAAATGATGAAGAAATGCTCCTTGTAAGTCAACCATGTGCTGTACATTGGTATGGATTCAAAGCCCGGTCATGCATTTTACCCTGTGGATGGCTTTCTTGCGGAATCGTCATATTACTGTGCACATTAGCATTACAACTTATGAGCTTGGATTTACTCCTCAAAGAACGAGTGACTAGTACATGCAGCACTGCTCTTTTAAAAGCACTGTTTCTCTCTACTCAAATGGGTATAATCTTGAAAAAGTCTTGTGATTGCTCATTCCTAACTTGGGGGCACTAGTCTCTTTTTCTTGGAATATTGATCAATATTTTGAAGTACATATTCCTTTAGAATAATGGGAATTAAAGTTGAACAGTTCTCCATCTCTCCTGAACCCCTTAAGATGGGCAGAATTCTATGACACTGTGCAGAATTACTTCCTGTGTTCAAAACCGTACCTTTCTCGAACTCCCATGAGGCTCTTCTCAAATCATATTTTTAAAAGAAACACATGATTCTTTCTGTAGTTTTGCTGTTTTATGACTGTGTTGAGCAATTAGAATCATCACTCAGCCCTTTTTTCCCTCATTAGGTTTGGTATAACAGTTCTAGGTAAAACAGCATGAACAGAACTCAGTTGGCATTAATATTCTCTGGGCAATACTGTTTAATTTTATTAAGTGTTTGTCATCTGTTGCCTATCAGGCATTCGTATAGGAGCATTGTGCTGGCTGTGGAGCACGGACCTGCACTCAGCACTAGACCGCCAGTGCTGAGTCAGTGCGCTCTCTCCTGCTGTTCAGGGAGGGGCCACAGGGCACACCCTCGAACTGACACCTGTCACATGGCTAGGTAGCCCTTGCTTTTTGCTTGCTCTTCTATAGAAGCCCTTGTCCTTGCAACTCTGTCCTTTGCCCCTGGTTGGGTCCCAAATACACAAGATGTACAAATGTAAACTTGTTGATTTTATTAAAATTCTTTTTATTCTTTGTTCTTTTTGTAGTTTTCTTTTTTTTAAAAATTATCTTGATAAAATGATGATTTCCACTCACCTGGTACCTAGCTAGCCTAAGGGGTTCCAGAAGTTACTCACCCATACCTACTGCCTCCTCCCAGCACCTACGGATGATTTACATAACTACCCCTTAAATTTCTTGTTATTATTTTACAAATTTTAAACAATCTACTTCTGAATTTATCTCCCAAACATTCTTAAGTTGCTGCTTGACATATTTTGCCTTCAGATTAATTATGCCCAGAGGGTTCACAATGGAGGTTTCTGGTTACTTCTCACATACTTCACCTTTTAGCCAAATGCTGTTAAATAAGCCTGCTGCTCCTGCATTTCTAATCCTGAATATATTCAAAGAATATAACCTTTTCAAAAAGCTCTCACTTTAAATGTTAATTTAAGCCTTAGAACCTTGTTCCTAGAGGCCTTTGAGAAATCCTGTGGAATGACTTCCACAGTACATTCCCATGTCCTTTCTTCCAGGGACTGGACTAGCCCTGAGGAGAGGGTGTGTCAACACAGCTGGTAGCCCCTGGCTCATCTAACCTAGTCTGCATGCAGTCAGGCTGGGGAATTCCAAGTATGGTAGAGGTGAGGTATCAGGAGTCAACTGTATTTCAAGTTGAAGAAACTGAGGCGGTTCATTTGCATATTAGAAATGAAAAGTGGGAGTGCTTAGACTTACACAACTGACTGGCCAGGAAGAGGCTGTGGACTCACACTGCCTGTCTGAATGGCTGAGAAAAAGAATGAACTGATGTCCTATGAGTGGCTGGGAAAGACTGGTGCCTAGCGCAGTTAAATGGGCTGTGGCTGTGTTAGGAGTAATTACATACTAACTGACACCCCATTTGCTCTGAACAGATCTGTCAAGCTTACTATTAAAATGAAAATGTGCAAGAATCTAGACCATATGGACGAGAGGCCCTTCTACCTTCTCAAAAAAGCTGAATAGCTAGAGTACCATCCAAAAGCTTGTTAATACTGTGTTCAGAGACAAGCACTGGAATTAATGAAGCCTGATTTTTTTTAGCTTGCAGCTGGGAAGGGAAACAGTAGCTATAATTCAGTCAGCAATCCAAAGTGGTAAATTAGCTAAATGAGGCACATGGCAAGAAGGGATCAGAAAGCAACACACAACAGGCCAAGTATGACTTGAAAAGTAAAATGTTGTCATGAGATGTGGGGAAACATGGGTCTCATTGGGCTCCAAAACACCCAACTGTGGTCCTGGGCGAGTCACATACTCTAGACTGTGTGGTGTCATTATTATAGACTAGAGGTAGAGCTGGGTAGTATCTTTTAGGTGTTAACCCTCTGTTCCAAGCAAGGGAAGTCAGGGCAGAGTAGTGGGGATGTTCAAGCCTTTGATACAAATACTGCCCTTATAGGATTTTGGGTCGCTCAGGGTCTAGCTGAGGAATTCTGCTACAGGGTCCCCATGGAAGTGTGAGCACTCCCAGGGTGTCATTGTGTTGATGCAATTATTAGGAACGTGCTTCTCTGTAGCCAACACCTATTGGTTTCAGAACTACTGTCTGTAACCATTAGAGGAGTTGGTCTCTGTGGGCCCTTTTCAATAATAAACAGCTGGCTTTCAAGCACCCCTTTCCTCCAGCATTTTCCAATGTTGGCTATATGAATCCCTTTGCCTTTTTACACAGGCAAAGGAAGTGCTCTTCCTTTGACTTCCACAGGCCTTCACCATTACGGTTGTCTTTAGAGGACATTTTCATTCATTTCACTTGAAATACTAGTTTTCCCTGTTCAGATTCCATTGGCGTTCCACTAAGCTGGGGAGGCAGATTACCAGTGTTCACTATGGCAACAGAGCATGCTGTGTCACTGATGCCCATACAACTGATGAGTCCACCCTCAACCTCCGTCACACTGCCCATGTGTTCACCATTTACCTAGAGCAATGAGAGCACACAGTAGAACTGAGGTGGTCAGTCTGTCCATCCTCCCTTCCATCTCCGTGTCGGCACCTTACAATAAACCCCAAACATATTTCTACATTGCTTTTCAATATGTTGCAGACTTAACACACAACTATTGACATCAGCTCCTAAATAAATATAACTGAAATGCTACCTACACCTCTGCTTTCCTGAGAATGATGGCACAAGACAGCATTTCCTCAGGTATGTTTATGCTGCTGAAGGCATTTGATTTCAGTTTATGTACAAGAAAGAATGTATTCACTTTCTTTATATGAGTAAACAGAAATTCAGTGTTCTAAAAAAGGTTATGACATTACTAATATTCAAATATTTTCTGTATACATTAGCCTATTTTCATGAATTTTTAAAATTGTAAAATATACACAATGTAAATGTTCATTTTAACCATTTTTACTGTACAGTTCAGTGTCAGTAAGAATGTTCACAATGTCATGCGCCATCACCACTGTCCATCTCCAGGAGTTTTTCACCCTCCCAAATGAAGCTCTGTGTCTGTTAAACATTAGCTCCCCAGTCCCCCCACCCCCAGTCCCTGGAAAGCACCATTGCACTTTTGATCTCTGCATTTTACTCTAGGGACCTCAGATGAGTGGACTCATACAGTATTTGTCTTTTTATGACAGGCTTATTTCATTCATTATAACGTCAGCAAAATTCATCCATGTTGTAGCATGTGTCAGAATCTCCTCTCTTTAGAAGACTGAGTAATATTCCATTTCTTGGTTTTAAAATAGTGCCCAAATTGTGTGCATAGACTATTTGCTTATATGTGTTTTATGTAAAATTTGCATTGCTGTTTTACATATTCTTATCAACATGTAAAATATAACCCTATATCAGCCATCTAGACGTCATCCAGTTATTGCTCTCATCCCTTCCTTGGTTAAAACAGAACAACAAACCTCACAAATGGTCTAATGAAGGCTCTTGAAAATGGGCTCAAAAGCAGCACCAGGTCTTTGTCAACAAGGAAAGGCACAGAGATTTCCCCATCGTGATATGATGCTTGCACACCTGCAAGATCTGCAGGAAGATGACTCAGAAACAAGGGCCAGACTAACTTGTAATGAAAAAGTGGCTAGAGTGTGCATGGCAGGCCTCTGAACAAAGATGTGCTCATTTTTTATCATTCTTCCAAGCTCTCTTTACACAAACCTCTGTAACATCTTTCAGGAAGGGAAGGAGCGATGCTGGGTGGGAAGGGGACGTTCTCTTTGCTTTTCTGGGAGAGCAAGAAAGTGACTTGGCAGGCAGTGTATAGGCCGCAGGTGTGTGCCTCTGGGTGCAGGGCAGTGAGGGCTGGTGTTTGCCACTTGCAAACATGAGGATCAGGGAAACAGTGTGACAGAAATTTACAACCAGCCTGTCTCCTCAGTCAGGCTCCTACCTTCCACTGCAGTGAGGAGTCTTCATGCTGTGGGTTTCTAACATGTTTCTGCACTGCATTATAGATGTGTGTCCTGGGCAATGCACAGCAAGGTTCTCCAATGACAGGTGGAAGGCTGGGTGTCTTGACACAGTGAGTGCACAAGCACCCTGTACCTTATCATCATGCTGTGTCTGGAACTGGAACTTTCCACCACAGAACATTGAAAAGGTGCTGGGCTGTGCCTCTTTCCTGTCTGTGCTTAGTTTGCACTTACTGGAGTAATTTTCAGGTAGCTGTGTTTATACAAATACTAGAAAATGAGTTGCTATCTACCAGCTGACAGAGAAGATCAGCCATTTCTCACCTGCCATGGCCAGAAAGACAGAAGGCTCTCTACGTGGGAACCGACTGGGGCTGTGCTAAGTCGGGGGTGGCCTTGTCCTGTCCTGGGCCACAGCTGAAGGGTTTCACTCCATGTTTAATGTCATGTTCATGCAAAAATTAACTGACATTGCTACAAAGGGAGGCAGCTGAGGAGCTAAAGACTCGCCTTACCAAGAACTGTATTTAAGTCTAAAGGGGACAGTTTTCCTCTTCAATTCATATATTCTTTTATTCATATATATGCAATCATTCATTCATTCCACAAGTATACATTGGGAAACTGCTGTGTGCCAAGCATTTTGTTAAATTCTACGGATAAAATGGTGGAAAAGACGCATCTGGTCCTGGCCCTGTTGGAACTCACCATGGAGACACAGCGCAGTGTGACACACACCCAGCATAGGGTCCAGCGTAGGGTGGGCCCCAAGGAAAGTGCTTCAGAAGCATTGGCAGGGCCAAACCTGGAGAACCCTTTGAAAAGGAGAGAAAGAGGTTCAGTTTGCAAGCCATATAACAAGCAGGGGTCGGTGGCAGATGAGGCTGGAGACTGAAGCTTCCTGGTTCTCAGCAGAAGAGTAGTACAAATGTTTATGTTGTAGAAAGATCACCAGTCCCACCACCCTGAGGGCAACCACTGCCAACATTTCTGTCTAGTGTTCTGCCCATTCATCTTAGTCATTACATAGTTTTTAATGACATGGGAAAGGACCCCCAACCCACCACCACCAAAAAAGCATAATACAAAATGTTTTAGCCAGTTTACTTGGAAAATCCTTTGTTTTAAAATATGGTGTATTAATAGGACATTTGAGGTATGATAGTACCAACAGATCAGGAGATAATTGCCACTGAAAGGATAGTTTATGGCCACAGATGCCTGAGGTCCTCCTCACAGGGTTGATACACCACTCCACAAGGGCCATGTGAGGAAGCACCAGGTCAGTCAGGAGGCAGAGGGAGGAGGGGAACTGAGGGCAAGAGACTTTATGGTGGTTTTGAGGGAAGGAAGGAAGGAGGCAGGTAAGCAGGCTTAGGACTGGTTAGTTTGAATGACTTTGGGAGGCTCTGGGACATAGATCTGTTCCTGGTTGTCCAGTAGACCAGGCCATGGGATGATTAGGGAAACTGCAGGGTAGCCTGAAGTGTGAGAGGTGTTCCCTCTCTCTAGGAACTAGCTAGCCCTAGGAGAGGCAGTCCCGCCAGAGCCAGCAAGACCTCAGATGTCAAAGCATCAGAAAACACAGGAAATAAAGAACACAGT